GTTTTGCAGCAATGTTGCAAAACAAGTTGTACTTTTGTTGTTGCCCGTTTTACCGCACTTTCTTGATATGTGCCGGTGCCTGCGAATCCGAATACCCAAAATGAAATGAAGACGGAAGTATTCATGAATTCGTAAAAAGCTCCTTCAGTGTAAACGAAGCCCGTGGGTTTGTTTTCTGAACGCTATCGGTTCTGCTATTGGCTATTAAAAGGTGGCACAGAAAACGGGGACAAAATTTTTCATCCACAACAGTCCCATAATGCAATTCTTGCCTAGTCCCTGTACGGCGTTTCTCAGTCTTTATCGGTCAATTCACTTCGGTGACGTATCCGAGGCGTACGGGCGGGAAACTCACATCTTCGCTTGGACCACGTGACCGGAAAAGCTACAGCCACGCGGAAAAATGAGGCCTAGGGATTAGGCAAATGCAATTCGACACCATAACGACCCAGTCTCCTGTGAAACCTCCAAATGGCCAATCATCGCCAATTTTTCGAAACACAAGCTGCCTGATGAGAGTAGTTATGTAATAAAATTTCATGTAACAAATATCTCACTCGAATGACTCCCTTGTCTTCTGGATATTTTTGCTTTACTCTCATGGCACATTTCACTGTAAGAAGACTTGATCGTTTCTAGGCTTCGAAGCGTCTGAAGGAAAAAAAAGGTCAGACAGACAAAATCACTCAAGCGGCACACTTAAAATGAGTTTCTGCACTAAAATGAGCAACTTTAAGTATGCTTCATTATACGCTGCGGACAAACACTTGAGGCATTTTTCTTTTTAATAAGTGGGATGTTATATACCGTGAAGTGGAAACACAAGCGGGGATGTAAAAAAGTCATAGTGAATTTGAATACTTTTAGTAAATTTTTATTCAACATAATGGGTCGACTATTTACACGAAGTCTAACTTAGACCGCGGTTTAACAAATCTTTGGACCTCCAGATCTCTTCCTTAGTGGGTTATTTTAAGAAAACTAATGCTTTTCTAGTCTACGCCATGGTGCGCCTTATGCCTTCATGAAACTGTTGACGATAAATGGTGTTTACATAAAAGTGTTCGGCAAACTGAAAATTAAATGACCTAGAAAATGGTTTGTCAATTACTGGCTAAACTCCGTTTAAATAACTGTCTGGCCCAATGAGTTTCTTAATTTTCGTTGAAAACGCTTTGTGGAGTCTTTGCGGAGCGGAGTCATGTGGGCAAATAGCACCGAAAGGGCTGTTCTTTCAGTTTTCAAACACTTGGAAGTTTTTTTTTAAATCAGGCTTTCAAAGAGTTTAGGAATATCAACAGTACACTGGTAATGTCTCAAACTTGAAGCAAAGAAAACCGTAACCTCAGCTTTAAAGTACATTGCTTAGCTTTAACAAATTTCTCCCGTACGATCTTGGTCAAGTTTCATTAATACTACCAACCTGAATATATCTCAGTAAAAGGGAATGAACTCTGCTGAATGCTGGACCCACCTCTGCAATCAAACAAATATACAAGTTGCCATGAACGTTGCACTGTCATCATTAGAGCAGTTTCCGATAGGCCATTTCCAAGTTTCAAAAATCATTGACCTTCAAAATGAGACTTAATAGGGCAAAAAAAAAGTCCATGGGAAAATGACTTTTTGTATGAACAATAATAGAAAATTATTTTAAGATTTCGCACTTATAGTCCGTAAATACCTTCGTTTTCAAAAAAGGCTTCGGTCAACTCACAGATGGCCTATCAGATGTGGTAGAATCCAGGTTCGCGGTTTTCTCAAATTCGTTTTCGGGAAAACGGTCAGTCTTTGATCTTCAAAACCGAGAGCATTTCCAAACCAGTGGCTGGCTAGGCTCGATTTGTGCCGCTCTCTCGAGTCTGGTTGCTGTTTCTCCCCTGTTTTGAGGAGATGAGTACTGATAACCTCCCCCAAGAAGCAACTCCCAAGAAATTACACTCACCAACCTTAAAAATTGTGAGCCTTATATCACTGAAAATGCTTTTAAAAAGACAGTCAGAACTGGCCGGTCTAACCGGTCATTTTCAAAATGAAATTTCAATTAACCCTGATTAACCCTTTAAGTCCCAATAGTGACCAACATTAATTTTCTCCTATCCACATCCATATGATGCCAAGAGAAATGGTTTTGAGAGTTAATAAAATGATCAGTACATAGATTTAATGCTTTGATCTGTTATAAAACTCTCTCAACTAATTCTTTAAAGAAATGTATGAAGATCAGTATGGAGAATTTATATGTGAATATTGAGGCTTAAAGGATTCACAGAGGAATTATCCTTAGGATTGGACTAGTCTGGCTGGCCAGTTCTGACAAATGTTAAGCACCCTAAGTGTACCTGACACAACAGGTGCTTGCCTTCTACACCACGGCTTCATTTCAGTTTCAAAACAATGAAGAAATCCAGACACGACTTGAGCCATAGTTGTGAGGGACAAAGACAATGTTTTGCTTACTTTCTCAATTGTGATGGCATCAGCATCACATAAAGGAGCCTAGAAAGAAAGTAAAACATATTCTAAGGGACAAAAATTAATACAAACATGAGTTTCAGAATGATAAATAGGGCTATCAGAAAAAAGTCATTTGTCTTAAACAGGGTCAGGGTTAGAAGGCTTTAATGGCACAGCCCTGGATTCTCAGTTGCAAGGCTCCTTTTTGTTTTTTTTAAAGGTTTACAGGCATCATACATTTTCTCTGAGTCCCTCCAGTTGCTTGCTCTGTTCTTCTAGTTCACTGGTCAGTTTTTCTGTGACAGAAATTAGCTGTTTCTCATCTGGTATTCTGTTGATTGACACAAACAGTTTATGCAAAATATTACATAACGAACAGCAACATAATAATAAAATAAGGGAAATTGACTTCACTTTAAATCTGTCTTCTAAATTAATTTTAAGACTAGATGAATGTCCTCTATCCCCCAAACTAAAATAATATTTATCCCTAGAGCAGGGTTGTCACTGAGATTTCAAGTTGCCGGGCAAATACAACAAGTAGGCAACAAATCAAATGGCTAGGGATTTCTTTTGGTTCTATTTTTCTTCTGTTTTCCAATAAAAGTAGCCTGGGGTCACTCTCTTAGTAGCCGGGGAAAATCCCCGGTCCCCGGGTCTTACTGACAACCCTGCTAGAGTTACAAAAATCGCATATATTTTTTAGTAGAGGTAGTAACCATTTTGGGCAACAACCAAAACAATCTTTCTGTTTGCTTCTTTGATGAGAGCTAATAGAATTTGCTTAGTTTTAGTTTGTTTTTAATGGGGCATTTTCATGATTTATTGGTAGTACTTGTCCTAAAAGTCACCACAAACTGATCCCCTTTTGTTTTGCATTGTGCAAATATTTATATCTTTCTAGGGGGTTCCTCCATGAGAAATGGCTTAGCCCCTTAACGTTTTGGAAAATAAAAAGCACATGTAGGTTTTATGTACATGATTTTCATATCACCTACCTTTTTTGTTCAAGCCCTGATGTAGATTTTATCAAGTCGGGTGGATAGAGTTGAACTTTAGATCTAAAGATATCTTGAAGGTCTTGTTGGCGGCATAAAGCATCAAAAAAGTAGCAGTCATTCTTGAACTGGTCTTCCAAAGAGAAATGAGCTGTAGCCAAGCTTTATGACAAAGAAATATATAAAACACAAGTTGACTTTCCCTACCTAACACTGTGTTTTTTTGAAGAAATCATTATCATTTTTTCCATTAGGACAGGTTATAGCAAAAGGATCATTAACTTGTCTTTCAACCAAATTAGTCAATTTCCATTTTTTTGCCAAAATTATAGAATGATTGTTTTCTTTTCACAACATTTCATTCTTTACGTTACGGAAACTGCTGTTAATTTATAATGCCTTCCTCTATGGTTGTTGCATGTTGTAAACTACTCATACATACAGGAGAGGCCAGGGAACTCTTGAACATATCACCAAGAACTTGTAAAGCTGTCCTACATTCAGTATTTAGAAAAGCAATGTCTATTTCAATATTTCTCTGATTATTCATATGTATTTCTGACACTTGTAAGCATACAGCTCTACTTACAGCGACATGTACCTTCTGATGACCTCTGTTTGAAAGCTTTTCATTCTAAAAGAGGCCAACTCCACTTGCAAACAAGAAGCCTTGTCCAACTTAAGATGCTCAGGGATTTGCAGGAGAGAAATGAGGTAAGCAGTGTTGCCCAAAATAAGAGGCCTTACAGACAGCACATATAAAATTACCCTTTTTTCAGGCAACACAGCCAGCACAAAATTAACCTTTTTCATAATTACTAACCTTGCTGATCTTACTGGTGTTGTAAAATTGGCCTGAGCTGGTTTCTCCACAGTGCTGACAAGATCCAAAAGATTTTCCCAGAACACTGCTTGTTTGTTCCTAGATTTGTTACCCTAAAAACAACAAAGATGTGCACTCTCACCAAAATGAAGGAACATGCCATCATATTGCAGCTGTTTGAGGGTAGCGTTATGATTTTTAGATGATGGAAACCTCAGAGGTACTAATGTACATCTACAACACTTTGTAAAATAGTTAGTACATCATCAGGTCGATCAAACAACTCCCCTTTCTACTTAAGGGCATTTAGCAGAAATTAAGATGTGAATTTCAACCTTTTTTGAATCCTTTCAACTACCAGTAGATGAACAAATCACAAAAATGGAAAAAAATTACGTTCATGGATTAGAAAATTATATTTTTTAATCGTTCCTGTAACCTTCCTTTCTGGGGTTTTTAGTCTCGTGTATTTGGCCATTTTTGAAACCCTTTTTTAGGCTTTTATAGCATTGAAAGAGCAGGAAGAAACAGGAGGGAAATAATTAATTGAAATGTTCAGTTTTTCCAATTTCTTGTCTTTTGCACATAGTTTTGCCCAGCTACCCCTCTCCTATGGTAACATTTTGCCCTAAGTGAGAAGTACGTGTTAATGTTGGTTTAGAGGAGGGGTAGGTGGGCAGCTTCCCAGAAACGTATAATGATCCGTTTTTTTTTATGTAGCGTACATGTAGCTTTTGGTTTCCAGGAAAAAATAAACTGGTTTTAAAAATACAGATAAAAATGAAACCAGAACATTATTATGAGGTAAGATCTTTCAGGATGGCATTTCAACAAGTTAGATACAGATGTACCATGATCAAGCACAAAATTTTTCATAAACTTCAGACATATTATCGCTACTGCGCGATGCATCACGGTTTACAAAAGAGGCATGAGATCTGTGAAATTGTGGATTTTGAAGATTTTAAGGGGATTGAGGTTTCTAATAATCATCCCTAATGCTGCCCCTTGGGCCTTCCTATTTACAATAATTTTTTTTTTATGTTGTACGTGAAAAAACTGTTGTCAGGTTCAACCAGATTTCCTTTGTCTCCTATGCATAATAATCATCCCTAATTATCAGGATTAGAAAATAAAGAAAATTCTGATTCAAACCAGACTGAATACTAGTTTAGCCTGAGTCGAGAATGGATTTTACCTTTAACATACACTTTACAATGTATGTACCCTCTGTGCCCCTGTTTTTTACAATGGACTGCATTTTGCAGCAATGTATATACATTTAAAAAAAATAGTAATAATTGATTTTTTGAGCAAGTTGTATTTTTTCACGTGAAAGTACCTGTACAAGTTCAATATCATCACTTTTACACAGTCCTAAGAGATGACAAGCAAACAGAAGTTCTGCAAATAAAGCAAAACCATTAATGAGTTTTAAATGTCACACTTTTTATTCCAATCAAAAAGTCAACAGAGCTTCACTCAGTACTGCAAGTTATTTATTACTGCAGTAAAGAGAGTGGCAATAAGTGAATTTAAAGACAGAAGATCAAAGACTTGTTGATTTGATGTTGAAAAATAAATGCTGTCAACCTTGATTTTGTCTTACTTTGAAGCCTTGAGTCATTTCTTCCAAATGCTTTACTTTGTTGATTCTCCAGCATGTTGTAGATGACTGGATCAAACCTGTGACATGAAAGTGCCCATGAAAGGCATTTGGGAAGCAGGTTATCTACATCTACATTTAGTAGTCAGCAGAAACTACACATGTATGTACTGTTATCACGCTAACATTAAATTAAAAAGAAAAAGATTTAAGTGACTGGATCCATAGTTAAAGTTATTTGAGTGGATCCATAGTTAAAGAAAGTTTGTTGGTACTCCAAGTATACAAAAGCAATAACTATGTAACCCATACCCAAACATTGGTCGAGTACCCCCTACCCTTATAACCAGAAGATCACATGACTGTGACTAGTCACAAAAAGAAAGCAACAAAAACTCAAGATAAAGAAAAAGAAGTGACAACTGCAATGGCAAAACAAGACTTATGAGGTTTTGCATGCTGAGCAGAGTTTCGCCGGTTCAAAGAAGGCAAAAGAAATGACTGGACTTGACAAGAAACAAGGGGGACAGTTGGTTTTACTGTTGAGAAAGTCATTTCGGCATTTCGTGTTTCAAAAATGCCTAAGGGGGCTATGGATTTTTTGTGGGGCGAGTATTTGTTAGGTTTTAGGAGGGAGCAATTAAAAATCTCTCCCAGTGGGACTGAAGGTACTAGGGAGCCATAAAACATTCTCAATAAAAACAAGAAAAATCAGTTATAAACTAATATTTATTTAGTATTGAAATATAGAATGAGGTGGTGGAAGGAACAAAAAAATACCAAATAATAGGGTGGTATCCAAAAATTGCCAAGGAACAAACAATCTGAAATCACCAGAACCACCATACTCTACAATAACAAAAATTATACCTCTCCCGCAATACTTGAGTTGGGGGAGCACATTAAATATTTATAGAGAGCTTACGAGCTTACTTTGCTAAACTCCACTGCAGGAGTCTCAGTCTTGGCTCTCCAGGCTTAAACAACAATTCTTCTATCCATGAATCCTCAACGCCCCCTAAATACGGGCAACCAAGTTCCTGATTTAAGGAAAGACGGACAGATGCGACAAACATTTGATATTGGAGAAACAGAAGAATTTTAAAACTGGTTTATGTGAGCCCGGGAGGTTTGATACTTGGAAAAGTTTAATACGTACAAAGAAGAGGTGCATAAATTGAAAAAATTATAAATAATACAGTCACATTTACCTCTAATTTCGATCGAAAGTGGACCAACCTTTCCCTGCTCGCCGCCGCCATTTTTTCAAACATGCCTCCTCCCAAAGCACCATGGTATTGGGCCCAGTCACATGACGATGACAGCAATCCAAGATGGTGGACTTCCTTGTGGAAAACAACGCTTGTGGACAGACCGTGTTGAAGCTCGTTAGCAGAGGAAATGCGATCGTTGCAGAGCTTCTCCGGCTTTCCGACTTTATACCGCCAGTGTTTAAGCAAGAAACGAAAGAAGATCGCGATAAATATGGCGAGATTTTGGCGGACTTCTCCTATTTCAAAGGTCCCGATTACTACGAGAACCGCATAGATTCCAAGCCGGTAAGCTTAAGTAAAATGAGCGGCTCAAATGTTACGTAGCTATTTCTTTTCTCTTTGGAGGTACTCGTAATTCTCTTTACTACCTCGTATATGCTACAAAAAAAGAGGAATCCTCAAACGGAAGACTAGCATGGCTCGGAACCGAGACATCAGCTGTTTGTTATTTTTATAGGTAAGGCTGGGCGGGAGGTGGGGGTTCTCCGGAGGGGTTATCGTTTTGGTAGGTTGTGCCAATTTCATTGTACCACTAAAAGATCAAGTTAGAGCATGGGGACATTTTTTAACAACTTTTGAAATTTTATTTACGTTCGTGTTTGCAATAGTAATTGTATATTGTAATTATATTGCACTTTTAATAGGAGTTCATAAGAACTCGTTGATACATGTCTGTGCATTCCAAATCGAGTTGGAATTTGGATGTGTTGGTTTTTACTGCGCTTTTCACAAACGTGCGAATTCTGAAGTTCAAAACCCGCCTTCACAATTGCGTTTTTCGCTGCCGTCAGTCATCTTAACGGACCTCCTAGGAAACAAAACTTTACTTTAACGGGTTCAAAAGGTCATGGTTTGTGATTTGTGATTGGTGGATTTCGATCCATTTTGTGTGTTTGTGTGTTTCAAGGTTCGTTGCTTGTGATCGTAATTATGATTGACGGTAGCGAAAAACCCAATTATTGTGAAGGCGGCTTTTGAACTTTAGAGTTCGCATGTTTGTGAAAAGCGCAGTGAGGAGGGGGGAAAACGGAAGTACCCAGAGAAAAACCTCTTGGAGCTAGGGAGAGAGCCAACAACAAACTCAATGCCTTATGGCATCGACACTAGGATTCGAACCCACATTGGAAGGAGGCGAGTTCTCTCACCACTGCACTATACCCTTGCTCCCCACCCTTGCTTTCAAAATGGAAAAGCTTCCCCTTCTCCACCAGACCCCACAGAAAGAGGATCACAGGATCACACTCCCCTATAAGACTGAATTATGACATTCACTTTTTGTCTTTTAGGAGCTGCAAGATCTAGATGAAGAATTTAGAGAAAATCACATTGAGATCTTAACCAGATTCTACAAAGCTTTTGAAAGTGTTCACAAGTATATCACTGATCTGAACAGGTAATTTAGCCACTTTCGTAGTCCTAATAGTAATGATTGAAGAAGTAAATATTTACAGGAGCTTGATTCAAATGAAAGGAAAATACAGTTTAGCTCAACATTGTGTTACGTCAATTTGTCAATTTCTCCATCATTACTGTGATGACTGTTTATGTCTTTCTACCATAATTATCATTCTTCAAAACAATGGTGGATAAAAGATTCATCTGCCCATTAATTTTTTTGCGTTCGTTATCATCTTTGTCAAGATCATCATTAACAGTTTCTTTTTCATAGACTCTAAATAAAAAAGCATACATGTAATTGTGCCAGATCACAGAAAACTTGACTTTTCAGTAGGCACTTCATCGCTTGGTTTATGTTATTATAGGTATCTGGAAGATCTTGATGAGGGAGTTTTTATACAGCAGACACTAGAGAGTGTGTTGCTTAATGAAGATGGAAAACAACTAATGGTAAATATGTTTCTTTATAAGAATTTGCTGCATTTTAAGTGCTGGTCAAAGTTGGAATGTGTTGGAAATAAGCATACATTACTATTGTTTGCATTTCAGTGTAAAGATAATTGAAGAAGTGACCCAATACTTTCTGTTTGACCAGCACTTACATTAGGCTTTTTTGGTGTAAAGATATTCATTTACATTTTGTTAAAGAAACAAATTATTTTTCCTGCTTGCAATAACTGTCTTCGCATAAAGGGATGTTTTAAAATTTATTAGTATTGTTTAATACTGTAATGTTTTCTTGCTGATAGTGTGAAAGCCTGTACCTGTATGGCATTATGCTTCTTGTCATTGATATGAAGTTTGAAGGGGATGTGCGGGAAAGAATGCTGGTTTCCTATCACAGATACTGGTGAGACATTTTAACACACACAGTTCAAGACAGTTGTTAATGCCAGTGCTACTTGTTTACACTTTGAGACATTAGAAATTATTGTTGGGCATTTATTATATCGTCTTTCATTCTTTTGTTGAGTACCAAGCAAATCCTTAGCTTCAAAGTCACAATCTTTGGGAATTTTAACTATCCAGTCTTCCCATTACAATGTAGGATTTGATTGGATATGTACCAAGCCAACTTTTAGTTGGACATTTCCTATGGCTGACTTTCATTTACAGCTCTTCTCAAGAGTACAATAATCATTTTTTCTCTAAAAAGGGTAAAAACATTTAAGCAAAAATGCTGGGGTGCAAACAGTGCGGACAGGACTCAAAATAATGGCCGATCAACAGACAATGCCTGGACTGATTGGGGAGTTGACCGGTCAACCTTGTGTCTTTCCGGACAAGTTGACTGGTCACATTCGATTGTATTGAAAATAAAAAAAAATTTAAATTTCAATGCTGTTCAGTAATTTGTTATCAGTATGTAGCGAGCTGCTTTGTATTGCAGAACTTAGATCTGAAATTCTGGGTGTAATGCAACTAGAACCATTGTTTACAATTTGCACATTGAAACAGACATTGGGGTTCACGTACACCCGAGTTAAAATGCCTGGTTACTATGCTTTTTCTCGATCAATGCAAACTTTCCTCCCTTGTAATGGGGAGTAACATGGATTAATGGCAGAGCTTTAGGATCAAGATCTCACAACGTGATACGTACGCCAGAAATCGTTACATTTGGACCTGCTGGACAAATTTAATGCGTACGATAATGATATTTAACGTGTTAATTACGGGTTAGTCTCACAGACAGTGTTCCTATTAAAGCACACAAGCTTATTTTCATTTTGCTGTTGTAATTTATTTTTATTGTTGACAATGAGTGCTTTCAGTTAAAGTGCTATAAGCTCTAAGCAAAGCCTTTTTTGGATATATATATAACGCCAGTTTTGGGTCATGAGCCCCCATTTTAAGAGTTATAAATTTATCTTATAAGTTTGACCGATCAGAAACGACACGCGAAAGGGCTACAATGAATTTGGCTGGTCATCATGTCTGGAGACTCATTGCACATTCTTCAATAGGCCAATTATGATGTATTAAAAAATCCAGTCTTGGCTCTAAAAAGTCTAAAGCTTAGGGGAATAAAATAGATAAAGTCACATTTAGGTTCATGGAAAAAATTATTGATGTCAATCGTTTTAAAGTGCTCTAAACCTCATAGCTAAGTATGAATTTTAACAAAAAAATTATATTGAAAAAGGCCTATCTCAAGGAATACTCTCTATACATAGCTTACATGGATTTAGTACAACTTCCAAGATGATCAAACATTAGACTTTTATTTATTTTGATTGGATGATAGGGAATGTTTTTTAACCCGTAATTTTAATATTTTGCTATTTTAGTGCAGCAAGAGCAGATGTTGACTCCAACATTGATGATGTTTGTAAGCTTCTTAGAAGCACAGGATTTTCCATTGCTCCTGGAGCCAAAAGACCTATCAAGTATCCAGAAGATTACTTCCGGTTTGTACTCTTATGTCTTATGCAGGTTTTCTTTTTTTACTACAGAAGTTCTCCTAAAAGACAGTTCTACTTGTGACCTTCGCATAGAAACACTAGCAATAATGAAGTCAATGGTGACAAAAAATGCTCTTAAAAAGTGATTACATACTGTTTCAAAATCCATAGCTCTTTTTCATGTTGTTCGATTTTTCAATTGTTGCTGAATTTTTCTGGATAAAAGTTGTATTCTAAAGGACGTAGTCAACAAAGCATGATATTAGACAGATTCACGTCATGATCTAAAAGCATTCCTGGTAGGTGTGGAAAGGCGGAATAATTTTTTGCAGCAAAGTAAATATTTCGATGGCAACTGTATACCCACATTAACTTTGTTTTATATCGTACAGGTTTGTGTTTCTTTTTATCAAACAAAGTTTTGAAAAAAAAAAAATGTCAGATTTATTATGTGAGCAGACAGCACTTCTGTGACAACCAGAGAGTAATTTTTGCTGTTGGCTGGAGTTTCTAGAGAACTTCATCTAAGGCTGAAAACCAAGTGACAAATTAATTTATTATATTTATTAAACCCTGCCTTTGGTGTTCATATGGGTGAATTTTTTCTAGGCGTATTTCAGTACCAGATACTTTTGTTGACATGCTGATTGGTCGCCTGCGGTCTGACGATGTCTATAATCAGGTCAGCTATGTTGCACAGCTGTATTTCTCTATTTGTCTAACCCAATTTTAACCCAAGTGTTATACATTTAGTTACTAGCTAGAGAGTGTGTCGATAATTACAATTTTTTGTTTTTTTTCTGAAGCTGGCCCTTTTATACATATTATTCAAATATCTGAAGCATAAACATCAGTCTGTACTGTTTGATTGTTAATGTATTGATGTCGTTTGTTTCCCAGATCTCAGCTTATCCTTTGCCTGAGCATCGAAGTACAGCTCTGGCAACTCAAGCTTCCATGTTGTATGTCATTTTGTTTTTTGCACCTGACATTCTACAAAATCAGCAGGCAAAAATGAGGGAAATAGTTGACAAACATTTTCCTGATAACTGGGTAAGGACCAAATTATTATTATTTTGTTCTTTTAAGTCTTGCAATACAATTGGTGATCCTCCAGACAACTACCAATCTGAATAAGAGTGTGACAGATCACCACTACTAGTGGTTATTGTTGATTTCTCAGTGCTTGATGCTGACTTTTTTGGACATTAGGCAATGGGCTAGTAAGTGAAAAGTGAGCAATCCTAATCTCCAGGTCGTTATTATGCATGAGTCGCATGTATGTAGCAAGCATACGTTTGGACTTCAACTAAGAATGTATGGAATGCATAGAACGCACTAATAATCTGATCACGCATGTTTTAATCATCTGTCACATGAAACTTATGCAACGCACAACACTGGAGCAAAAGCGTTTTGACCTTCGATCATTGTCGCTCTAACTCCGTAACCTTTGGTTATTACTAGTTTCAGTGTTATTCTAATCCCTGAGCTTGCAGCTTACTTTCATCACTTGTCAGGGGGTGGGGTGGGGCTGTACCCTAGAGGGGTCGTGAACATTTGTGTCTTTGTATGATGGGGTGTCATTTAAATATTCTTGTATGAAGGCAAAGTAAATAGAAGCAAATTTATCCCTTCTGCATATTCTCATATTATTGCTGCATAAACATTGATAATAAGTGTAGAACTTTCATGATTTAAACAGATAATTTTTCCCCCAGGTTATCAGCATTTACATGGGAATTGTTGTAAATTTAGTCGAGGCATGGGATCCCTACAAAGCTGCCAAAACAGCACTGAACAATACTCTTGATGTCACTAATGTTAAAAACTTGGTAAGAATGTCAAGTCATTCAATCTTTCATTCTTTGCCTTGCTTTTTTGTTCATCTGTTTTTTCGTTCCTATTCTGTGTGATATTACGCAGACTGTGAATGGTCACTTTATTATTTTGTTCTAGAAATTGTAGGTGGTTACTTTTATTTTGATTATGGAGCGATCATGCTAATCATAATTCTCCTTATTATGACCTGGCTAGTATAATCTGGTGAATATTATCTCCCCTGTGTCCCTAACTCCCATTCCCAGAATAGTTTGTTCTCTCCCTGTAATCGCAGCCAATTTGGATATTCTAAAACAAAGGATCCATAATTAAATGATTTTGCAGTGCTTTCACAGTGTATTGGGTTGTACTAAGGATGGAGTAAATTGGACAGGACCTAGTCATGCACTGACAGTGTGATTTTCCTTTTCTTTTTGTAGGCAAGCAGATTCAATACCAAAGTTAGGAGTTTAAATGTGGAGGTAAGCAAATTGTTTGGGGTTTGGTATACAGAGATTGCTTGCTATTAAACTTCACTGTCTTGATTGTACATGTACATAACCATTATGCATGCATATACATAAAGGTAATGGTGAACCATTAAATCACCAATGATATTGTTGGTTATTGTTGCTTATTTTTAAGTAAATCTAATATGATTATAGTTAATACGTTACAGTAAAGGAAAATTAATTAAATTATGTTATTCTTAGGTGGTGAATTACCTTAAAGAAGGAGCTCTCACTGAAGAGTATGTGTTGGATCACATTCCAAAACTGATGAATTGCTTGAGAGATTGTAATGTAACACTCAGGTGGCTCATGCTTCACAACTGTGAAAGTAAGTTCTTGATATGCATTTATATTAGTAATAATAAACAATATAATAATAATAATAATAATTTTGATGATAATAAAATTAATAATAATAATGCTAGTAATAATAATGATAATAATAGTGTTGATAACAATAATGCTATTAATCGCGACACTGCTACTGGTTTCCTCATGAATTGATGACATAGTACTGACTGCAGAAATTCCATGCTAATGACCTGTCTCTACCCAGATCTGGGTAGTGCTTCTGATTGGTTGAAGAAAATTTCCCTTAGAGTTGACTAATCAGAAGCACTATGGGTAGTGAAGCGTCATCAATATGGAATTTCTGTGGTTGTCCCTGCCTAACAGAAGGATGTTGTTCAAATTTAAAATAATACTCAAAGTTTTCAGGAAAGCAGCTTTGCATTGACAAAGTGTATATCTAGTGTTAAATGTAACTTTGTGATTTGTTTTCACACTGATAGTGTTTGATATGCATAAGAGATGCCGTTCCCTCAGAGAGATGGTGACCACAACTGGATATGATCCAAGAATTGTCTTTCAGTTGTTGCTGAACACTGCACAGTTTGAACTCAATCTCAAGGAGGTTCAGTATTATACAATAACATGTTACAAATTTTCATTGCTCTGCTGTACGTGTACTACATTTGTACTTTTACAAGTGTCTGCAGTTATTGGCAGGACAGCTACTGAGGGCCTGTCCCTACCCATACAACCATGAATGAGGCTAGTTAAGGCATTAAATAACATTAATAGCTCAGTCCCTTGTTGGTACTCCTGACCTAATTATTAGACTTGATAATTAAATATAAACTACCCATTGCTGGATTATTTTTTTTTTTCACTCATTCACATTGTAATAAACTAAAGCTGGGTTTTAAAACAATGGTAAACATGTTATTCTTGGCCTTTTTTATTCATCTTCTAACATGTTTAAGTACTGTCACAGTTTAAGTAATGAAAAGTAAGAACATAAACGTAGTACCCATTTCTATAGTAGGCTTCACACTCTGAATGAAAGAGTTAAAACATAATATTTGTAATTTTTGGCCTCCTCAATCAATTTAGATGTTCAAGCAGATGTTAGCGCAGAAACAAGTGCAGTGGGAAAAACACAAAACAGAAGGAGTTGAACGTATGGATGAACTGTCAGAAGTGTTTTCTGGGACCAAACCTCTAACAAGGATACAAAAGAATGGTACGTGACCTACCATGGTTTAACAGAAGGCTAGCCATTTTAAGACTTATATTGGCTCACATCAACATTATCTCCATATAGATGAGCCACATTTGTAAATGTTGTACAGTAGTTAATTTTTTATCTCAGTTAATTTTTATTTTTCGATTGTTTTTAGGCATGGTAATGTATACTAACGTATTTGAAACAAAGGAAAACTAAAAATTCACTGAAATAAAAAATTAATTGCAGCATAAACAAACCGTACCAAGAATGAAGGTCAAAATTTGGAAGAAAAATATTTTTGTCACCAAATTTATTGCTTATTCAACGAAGAGCTTTAACTAAAGTTCAACGAAAAAGAAAGAGGGAAACAGGGTGCAAAGAAGGTTAGTTTTAGTCATTTTACAGCTTGCCTGAAACTGCAGCTTGTATATTCTAGCCTAAGAGTCATTTAAACTAAACCAAAGAGTTTTTTTGGTTTAGCAGGATTGAATAGATTCAATTCTGTAAAATTTTTTAAATTCTGTAATTTGAATTCCCCCCCAAAAATTGACTTGCCCATTAAGCAAATGGAGAGCAGAATTGCGCTAACCCGGTGGCAAAATCCACTAACCCTGGGCTATCGGACATACCTTTTTTGCGCACTGTGAAACTAAACACTGATAGACACTATTGTCACTTGTAATTAATCAATTGACAGGGTTATATATTTATACTATTAAAAGGTGACTTCAGGCGCTTATTAATTTGACAAATTTGGCTAATATCATCATCTTCACCCTTGTCTACAGAAAATCTCCAAGCTTGGTTCAAGGAGATGTCCAATCAGATTTCGTCCTTGAATTATGATGATTCTACTTCTGCCGGCAGGAAAATGGTGCAGCTTATTCAAGCCTTGGAAGAGGTTGTTATTAACAGTGTCATTAACACATAAATAGTAACAGTTACTGTCTTTCCTGGTCCCATTACATCCCTACTATGACAACAACACTAGGTACAGCCTAAACTAACCAAAATCTAAATATATACATATACATACATACAACCTTTATTTATACACAATACTAATTCAAAGCTACAAGCTTGTGGGGTCGTGTGCAAATGAAAATGAAAGTCAACCAAGCAAATTAATTAGTATTCATGGTTAACAGTTTGATGTGCTATGTTTAGTTAGGACTGTGCTGTTAGCTATGCTTAATGGCCCCTGGTGACTTACTGTACTTCGACCTTGGACATGTTAAGTACAAAATGTTAGTTATTGCATCAATCTTATTATGCTAGGAATCCTGGTTTTAAAAGGTTCAAAAAGGTTCAGTGTTTCTTAGAGTACAATTCTTGAGAGTTATGTTAAGCTACTGGTTGTATTTATGTAATACTGTAGTGATACAGATAACAAAATAGTACTCTACATTGTATTACACCGTACAGTTTACTAAACATCATGAAAATGAGCTTCTTAATTTGCTTCCTCAAGGTTCAAGAATTTCATCAGCTAGAAAGCAATCTTCAAGTGCGACAATTCCTGCTGGAAACAAGACAGTTCTTACATCAGATGATCAGGACAATTAATATCAAGGAAGAGGTATGTATAATGTCTGAGAATAACTTTTTTCTAAGCATTTCAATGCACTTCAAATCAGTTTCCCCACATATAGTTCACACTTAAGTTTGTGTCAAGGAGTAAATACAGCAGAACCCCTTTTGTCTTAGAGATAGTCTGTTCCAGGTGTTCAGATAGTAGAACACAATCAAAAAATTGATGAGGGAAAAAAAAGCAGGTGAGACTCCCCTCGTTTTTTCCCCTCATTTCCTCTGTGTACGATTTAACTCGCTCACCACCAGGACGGATAATGCTCCCCACCATGCGAACACCGCTCTCTGCAATCTGAAGGCCTGGAACAGGCTATTGTACAGAGAGCAATGATATCTTTTACCCCACTTGCTGTAGCATTTATGCAATAAGTCCCCAGTATAACGTGTACCTTCCATTTCTAGTTGTAATGATTTTCCAAGTCTGTATTGTTAAAACCACAGCACAATTTTCGCTGTTAACATACTTGTCAATGTTGGAGATGCTGGGACTGAGTTGATTTTTGCTTGGGAGTCAACGATTCACATTAACTGTGGAGTGTTTCTTAGGGGAAAAAACTGAACCAGTCGAACCTACCTGTCCATAACAGTTGCCTCTTTAAATGCTTACTGACTTGCCACTGACCACCAGGTGGCCATTGAAAACATTTTTTTTAGGGAAATCCAGGTGTACAATCAAGATTTCATTAAAAAAATGACTTTCAGTAGATGATGCTGGGGTGCGTGGGCAATAGATTTTCTGATCGTCACCGTTTTGAGGCTTTCCAAAGGAAGTTGCAGGAGTATTGATAAACATTGCCCGCTTTTTTCATTGCATTGGTTAGCAAGCATTGATAACTAAAATTTTTTTTGCATTGCCTTTGCAGGTTTTGATCACTATTCAGTTGGTTGCTGATCTGTCATATGCATGGATTATCATTGATAGGTAAGAATTATGTTGTTTCCCTACTGTGGTGCAAGGTGCATGTCACTCAAGGCAAGAAGTTCATGAGAGAATGGGTGGGAACAAGGTTGTGTCGTTATCCTACGAATACCGCAGGGACTAGTGGCATGGAGTTATGGCCGTATTCACAGCCTATTGTGTTTTTTATAATTTTTGTACAGTGGAGGTTTGAATGCGATTCTTACATTTTTCTTGTAACTGAGAATGGATGAATCAGGTTAGATAGATGAAAAAGTTGAGAATGTATGGCAGATAGACATTTGGAGGAATTGAAATGCAAAACACTAGCCTTCTTAACTTTAGAATTACATGTAGATAAACACATTATTTTATTCAAGTAAAAATCATGATCATACACCAATGGTTGTTGTTTTTCAGACATTTTCTATTGTGTTTATTCTACAGTTATTCTGGATTCATGCAACAAGGAATCAAGAGCAATCCTCAGTTAGTTCAAAAATTAAGAGCTACGTTTCTCAAGGTAAAATTCAGTTGTATTCATATCTGTACATAGAAGTTTCCTTGAATTGACATCACAGTCGTAGAGAAGTCTTAACTTCAACTCTTAAGTACTGCTGCGGTTATTTTTATTGAAGGAGGTTAAGCAAGCCCTCTAGCCTTCTCCCAACCGCAAAATGATAATACTTCTAACTTATGATAACTTGTTACCACCACTAGGCTCGTTAAAACCCGTAGTTGAACGACAAAGGCTATCGCGTTTTCTTTTCTTGCTCTTATAGATGGCTTCAGCCATGGATCTGCCACTTGTGCGCATTGGTCAGGCGAACAGCCCTGATTTAGTGAGCGTGTCTCAGTATTACTCCGGTGAATTAGTAGCTTACGTCAGAAAGGTAAGACAACTGACTCGTTTTCTTTGTGCATATGAATGACACATTTCAAAGGCTAGGCTGCTTAGTAGACTGCTTAGTATACAACTGAGAATTGACCAATTGGACGACGATTTATTACTTTGAGTTGTAAAGTGTCTTTGAGTTGTAAAAATTAGCTTTGTTCAGTTCTTTGGCAGAATCCTTAATTCGACAGATTTAAGGCCATTTTGATGATCAAAATTTCACTGGATCAAGATTAATTTGACTATCCGATGAATCTTACGGCAGTTCAAAGGAAAATCTTGTTTTGAATTTTCTTCTCTGGCATTTTTGCCAAATCGTAGAAAAAAAAAGCAGAAAAACGGCAAGAGAGAAAACAAAACTAAAATTAATTTAAAACTTTTTTTATTATTGTGGTGTGCAAACTTGAAGTAAAGCTTTGCATTTGCCTCATAAAGTATTAGTTGATGAGGTAGGAAAAATAAGTTGATAATTTTGAGTCGTTTTGTGTAGATAGCGGCCAGGAGACGTCTCAGTTTTGTTACCTCGGGTTACCTCGGACTCAGATTCTTGGAGACGTTAGTTTGAATACTTCCAGTACACCAAGTGAAGGGCTTTTTGTTGAAGGGAAGTTTTTTTTATAGGTTTTACAGATTATTCCTGAGACTATGTTTGGTTTACTGGCAAGGATCATTCAGCTACAGATCAGCAGCGTAAAGGAGGTTGGTAGTACGGCCTTTATGAAAGCATCATCATTATTATTATTATACTACTACATGAAAAATTTCTGCAATTTGATTGGCTTCAGCTTAATTTGAAATACCTACATGTGAAAATTACAAACCTTTTGCGGGTAGTAGTATAAACAAATAATAGCATGATTTGGACGTGATATTTGGCATAAATACCACTGGAAATATTTAAAAATTGTCTCAAATTTCACTCGCCTAACGGCTCGTAAAATTACGTATAACAATTTCGAAATATCACTCGTGGTATTTATGCCTAATATCACTACAAATCATACTATTACCTATACAAACACTGAATTACAGTATTTGAAAGTTACATGTAGTTTGCGCGTGTATTCTGATCGTCTATTAATGAATTCCTTTAGGTTCCCACCAGGCTGGAAAAAGATAAACTGAGAGAATATGCACAGTTGGATGAACGATACCAGGTAATGTTGTCTGGCTATTGAACAAGACAGTCTTTTTAGTAAAAATACACTTTCGAGTTCTTCAATTCTTGCCTGCATAACAAATCAGTTATTCATGACAGAAATAAGTAAGAAACAGAGAAAATGCGTGTGGATCGTATAGACTCTTTCAGTTCTTCAAGACTGATCTTTCCTCCGTTCCTCTGTCATAATTTAGTTTACATGGATGGCAAACTTTGTTTCAAATTGACTATTTGCACGATGACGTATTTTTACTACTAAGACCAGAATTCATTTCGTTTTTCCTTTCATTTTTAAATTTGGTAGTCTTAGTGAAGTTTAAATAACAAAAGCCTTAATTTGCACAAGAAAGCAATACCCTGAGAGATTCTGGTCGTAATAGTAAAATGACATCATCTTGCAAGTGGCCTATTATCCCTCTCACCGATCGCGGAAATCCTGAGATAGACCAGAAACCCTTGCAGGCCAGAACGTGTAGCATTTATCTTTAGTGTCTTATGTTACAGAGACCTGATGTAGCACCGCCGACCAAGTTGACCGTCTGTAGCCCATCTTTGAGGTTACTCGCTGATCAGAAAATAGATTATTTGTTATTTAAAGATGCCAGCCTCATCCAAGTCAGATGTAGACATTTAATGATAAATGCCGAAATAAGTGAAAATGTCAACCTCTAACCTGATTTATGTTTTTTATTCAGATTGCAAAACTGACCCACTCTATCTCAGTGTTTACTGAAGGAATTTTGATGATGAAAACCACTTTAGTGGGAATTATCAAGGTGAGAATTGAATTAGATTTGACTGTCGAAGCAGCGTAGCCCAGTGGTTAGAGCGGTGGACTTGTAATTCGGAGGTCCCGAGTTCAGGTCCCACCCTGACCGCTCGTTTGATTTGTTCTCGGGTAGTAAGTAGTTCAAACCCTCTGCCACACTTGTCCAACAGCTAACTGGTTCGCCTCCTACCAGTTGGGATTCGTAACTTTATTATGTTCCATTTAAATTGTTTGTTTCATTATTCCTGAAAAGCCTCATAAGGGGAAAGTATAATTAATTGATCCAATTTTTATGATTTTTGATTTTTTGATATTAAATTTTTATTTTAACTGCGGTTTTATTTCGGCGATGTGGCGTTGTCTGATAACGTTATCGACAACAAATTCTTCATCAGAGTTGTCTGTAGGAGCAAGTTTGTAATGATCTGGCTGACTTTGTTTTATGTTTAGATTGATCCCAAGCAGCTTTTGGAGGATGGTATTAGAAAAGAACTTGTCAGACAGGTGACCTATGCTCTTCATACTGGCCTCATATTCAATCCAAAGGCAAAGGTACGTTGTCTGAATACTGAACTGTGTAATTCCGATCACATGATATCTGCATGCCGCGGGTAATTTGAATCGGACTACTAACATGGTCGTTTGGCCTTTATAGCGCCGTTCATGTAGCTCAATACCCTGTAACCTTTTCTAGTATCGAAGCTATGTGAAATGATTTTACGATAACTTGCAAAGCAGGCGTTCTCGTGCAGCTCAGAGCGAAACTTAGGATGGCTGTCGCGTTCGTTTTTTTTTCCCCGCCATTTTGAATATGGCGACCAAACTATGGGAAGAGGACTTAACTACTTTTGGTACGCGGAGTGGGTCGCGACGATCTGCTTTCCCGCCCCCGCCCCCATACCCAAAGTAGTTTTGTCCCAGTCCATAAAGTGTCAAGGATACAAGCGTCAAAGTTAGCCGGGCAACTTTTTACAGGTTTACCTAGGGTCAGCTTATTGTACGCGACTTGGCCGTGAACAACTAAATTATCATCGTTGTGGTTTTGCGTTGTAAATTATACCTAACGCAGGTAGTCTTATTGTCGTTTGTTAACAGCAATCTGAACTTGACATAAAATTGAAAGGGCTAGGAGGAAGAATGGATGGATTTCGTCGGTCGTTTGAGTACATCCAAGATTACATCAACATTTATGGTCTGAAAATCTGGCAGGAGGAAGTGTCCAGGATCATTAACTATAATGTGGAACAAGAATGTAATAGCTTCCTCAGAGAAAAGGTACTTGATACAATAGGCTTGCGCAGCAGAGGCTAAATCATGGGCGGGGCTCGTTCATGTGGAGAAAACTTTCCCCGGATAGAAGTAGCAGGGTCACTCGCTTATCCTAGCTACCCTGGTCGAGCCAACTTTTTCCACATTCTTTACAAAGCTTGGCAAACCGTTTACTTGATAAACAAAACATTAGCTCGGCTAGTGGCCCTTCTTCGATAGGAGGGTCACTCTTTTAGCAGGGGCCAACTTTTCTCCCTTTTGACCACTGGCTCGCCCAGCCGGGTCAACTTGGTCAAGGCAAGACAATAAGAGCATGCGCAAGCGCTGTTGTCAGCTGTTAGCTCGGGCAAAGCGATCAACTGTTTTTACTCATATAAACGTTTGCTAAAATTGACTTGGCTGGGAGGGTGACTCCCTTTGCCGGGATAACTTTTCTTCCTAATATATAAGGGGCCGTAGTAAAGCTGTAAAAAGCATTTGTTTGAGTTATTCCTTTGTCCTTAGTAGCCCGTCTTTCAAAAGTTTCGACAATTTTCGGACACGAAAAAAATTTTATACTGGCAGAGTTTGCATTAAAAGCTTACTGGCTTTGGAAGTAATTCAATAAAACTGTAAATTAAATTAATTAATTTCTGCCACAAAAAGTTACTGGCACTTGGAAAAAATTAATGATCTAAAGGCATTATAAGAATACCGAGCTTGCGTGAATGAACTGCGACGTTTCAGAGTACCGTAAACTTCCGCTTATAAGATTTAGGCTTATACATCTTACTGTGGAGGATTAAAAGTGGTGGTGGTGGTGGTGGTGGGGGAAGGGGGTGTTTATAAGCGACAGTTTACGGTATCTAGCACTTGTTTCTTCTCAGGTACACGACTGGCAGTCTATTTACCAGTCCACCACAATTCCCATTCCAAAGTTCCCTCCAGTTGATGAGTCTGTGAACTTCATTGGACGGTTGGCACGGGAGATCCTACGAATAACAGACACCAAGTAAGCTTATAATTTTTTGAGCTAAAAAAAAAAGCACCCGTGGAGATTTGATGTTCGCTAACGAGAGGTGGCTGTTTACGAGAGATCCCAACTATAGTGCTTTGAATGAAAAAAAAAATTGTTTTTTCTGCATATTTTATCACTTATGATAGATGTGGTTTCGCTTACGAGAGATTTCAACCAGTAGCATTTTGACCGGGAAAGCTGAGTTTGGTTACCGGTATTATGTTTATGTCGTCGCTTTCGTGAGGTCGTCAATATGGGTTCTACTATATCTTTATCGAGATGTGATTCCGTTTTAAATTCTAATCATTCCCTTTGCCGTATTGCAGGACCACGTGTTATATTGATCAAATGGGAGCATGGTACGACAGTAGAACAAAGCAAGAAGTTATGAATCTGCTGATTCTGAAGAAGCTTCAGCAGGGGGTCGGTTCATTTGGTTTGACAGGTCTGGACAAACTACTCTCCTTCATGATCGTCAAAGAACTGCAGGTTTGATTATTTGCCATTTTTGTTTTGTTTTGGGTTGTTTTGTTGTTCTTGTTTAATTTGTTTTTCGGCCCTTTCAAGGCCAGTAGTGTTCAAGTAATTGACTAATCCACAGTTTTTCTAAGTTTTTGGGCCCCTCTCTCTGAAACAATACGTATGCACTAGTACAGTATTATTTTATATTAACCGCACTCGATAAAATAACTTGTATTTGCTTCAGAGTTGTTGAACACACTGCCTTGAAATTGTGAGTTTTCCCGTGAAAAAGCCGCATTGGAACATGTCACATGTTCAAATGCATACGTGTATGAATCCAAAATTGCTCTATGAAAATTTGAAGGAATTTTAATTCTTTTAATTACACACCAACTTTTTCCCTTCAGTTTGTTTGTTCACTCGACACGACTGGCATTGTTTCGTTTTGTTTCTAGAAATTCCAAGCTCTTCTTAGAGGATCTCTCAAAGATAAAATGATAACGGACACTCTGACGGGACTTTCTAAAGTCCTTACTCCTGTAAAAAGTTTGATAGGTAAGTAGTATTTAGCGTCTGGAGATGTTAGTCTCCCATGGAACCTTAACGTCTGGTCATGCAACGCTCCTTCCCAGAGTGTTGCGTGACAGGACAATAACGGCTGCATCTACATGGCAGACTACTGGATATGTTTGCTGTACGATTAATTAGCGCACTGCTGCGCGTTAGGCTTTGTCGGTGTTGTATCGAATGGTACAATTTCAACACATTCTCCTGCGCAACCTCAAAATAACCAATAAAAGAAGCGATAGCGTCATCAAAACATCCACATAATACAATTTTCTCAATACCGACTCAGTCTTCCTCCGGTGGAACGTCAAAATGTCCAATAGCCGGGCCTTTACTTAAACTGCTATAATATTCTTTTAGTGATAGGTTTAGCAATATATTCACGAGAAGCCACACTCCAATTTTCTTTTTCTTACCATAAGCTGCAGTAACCTCTCGACAAGGCAACTAGCGTTTTTGCAAGCGAACACATCAGTCAGTGCAAGGATGGTGGCATAGTATTGTGATTGTTTGGTCGTCTGGGTCTGCGTCGTATTTGCAAGCTTGTAATGTCCTATAGAAAACAGTCAAGCTTATTTTGATTTGAAATAGTTGGTAACTGTATCTAATCGACAATGTGTTCAGCACGAGGTACATCACCTACTGAAGACCGACCACTTTTTCTGGCCGGCGGAGGTTATCTTATGTAGGTCAAACGCAGCCTTTTGTTCTAATAAAGCTAAGTCTGGTAACAATTCTGTGGAGTTTTTATTCATAGTTGTTTTTCATTTGTTTTTATTCATTGTTGTTTATTGTGTTCCTTGTTCCTTGTTTTTGTTTAGCAACACCTTACAGAGTTTATCCTCCGGTAACTCAAAAATTGGCCCGACTTTGGACGCAGTACTGTGAAGCTATAATGAAAGTACGCAAACTAATCACTTCTTTAAACCATTTTTTGTTGACTGTGTTGGTTGATATATGCAACTTTAAAACATCGCAGGTTTTCAAAGAAAACGCAAGAAATCTAGATTTAGAAGTAAACTAGCACACGGACGAGTAAGAGAAATTTCTAAGAGCAGCTGAAGAAAGTAGTGAAGCTGCCAACGCAAGCCACCTTTATTCTTCTTCCTCCTGAATTTTGTCCGCGCTATCGTTAACAATTTACCTTTTTCAATGCTTTCCTGTCATTTGGCGAGAAACGTGATACGGTATCCCAACATTTATGACCGTTATTAGCTATTCCATGATCTAGTACTGATCAATGATTGGCTTGTTGAGTTTGAAATGCGTCCACTCTGCTGGTGCCTATTGGCTAACTTCTCTTTCTCCTAGCCGGGAGGGACAGCCTTGAGTTTGTCGTGACAGAGTTCATCTAGTTTATAAATATTGTTGATTTGTTTTTCGTCCAGGTTGGACAGATGCAGCTTATAAGAAGACAGATTTCTAACGAACTTAACTGTTCCTGCAAGTTTGACTCCCAAGTTCTCTACAATGCGCTAGGCACATTTAACAAGTAAGAGCGTTTTTGTTCTTATATCAATGTAATGTCTGTATTTTGCGATTTCTTTGACTATGGGAAAATTGTTTGGAAGTTTTCTAACTCGAACTTACAAATTCTTTAGCTAAGTTGATGAAAATGATTTTCGATCCGTTTTCCCGGGTAAAAATATTCGTAAAAAAGAAAAGGCCTGGTGATATTGGCCAAGCAGAATTCTGAACACTGAGTCAAAAAGAATTTCCAGCCTCAAGATGGTACAGTGAAAAGCAAGGTGGTAAATTATGTGCGTTTTTTACCACATTTTCTTCATAAATTCTTCTCGGTGTCCTTTTTTCAGTGCTCTTCTGCGTGATGTCGAGGCTCATTACCAGGATCCTACTCGGCCGTATCCCAAGGAAGAAAATCCACTCATGTTTGAACTGACGTCATATCTTGAGTGGGCTGGAATTCATAATCCCCTGACAAAGGTATGACAAAGCGATCATTCCGCTTTTCTTGGATTTTTTTTTTTTTGCGCTTTGTATCGCTTCTCATTTTAGATCCAAAGTGATTATCGTAAGGAGCTCACGCTACGTCGTTGCCTAATTGTCTTCTAGCGTGTTGTTGCTGGCATAAATTTGCGGCAATATTTACTGTCGTGTACCTATCAAGTATGTTTTTGTTAAAAAACATCGATCGAAAGATATTCGCCATATGCGTGACAATGGACGGTAAATCTTTGATGTTAACACGCGGATCGTTCCATAAGAAACCTAGTCAAAGACATGTAATTTCCAAGTGGCGTATAAGGCGGATCCAAGAGTACTGAGGCGCGGTAACCTAGTGGGAAAGGCGTCGGACTTGAGATCCAGAGGACTTTGCTGGAGATTAGAGAAGAAAATTTGCTTCATGTTGTCTCTCTTCAAAATGAGTACCGGATAAAAGCTGTTGCAGAGAATACTGTGGTGAACTAGCGTCCCTTGTAGTGGATATTACCTCCTAATCAGACATTCTTTTTGCTCGACACGAAATCCTCCCTTTCGAACGTCTGTTTTAAAACATACACCAATCACAGCGCACTTCCAAAGTAAGGAAGTGTGTACTTTGAACCGTGAGAAATTTCGCGCGAGACTCCACTAAATAACATGACGGAAGTTAGTGTGTCCTTTCAACAAGTGTGTAACACCATAAAAAATCGTCGATTTAAGTGCTTATCAACGAGAGGCTTTAGTGAACTTCGTGGATAGGAAGAAGGATCCTACTGGGTTCCCGTAGTCACCTACGCATTGCTTTTCTGTTTTACAGATTTATATCACTACAAAGAAGTATCCATTTTTCGCGCTGCTCAACTTTTTGTGTGTGATTGCTCAGATGTCAAAGCTAGTGTATGTCAAGAGTGTTGGTGAGGACCTCTATATCTTACTTGTATTGAAAAATTTTCAACTGTTGGACATTTACAGCAGTCTTGTCACAAGTTTAGAGCAAGACATACACCTTAATTGCTAACTGACAGACAAACATTGCATAGGTTCTTTTCAGTCCTTATCTGCTGGCTACTTTCAATAGGCCAATTTACAGTTGTATGCTAAGTTACCTAGCCTCTGAGTGGAAGCGAGGCTGGTGGTGATTCTCTTTTGATAGAAACCTCAGTTCAGTTCATATGACATAATACGTTTGAAAACACGGTCACCTCCAGCCTCGCTTCCACTCAAGGCCAGGATACTTAGTACACAACTGTGCAATGGTCTATTGGTACTCCTCGTTTCCAAGTTTGAGTGTTAAGCCTTCCATTTGGACAGTTTACTTCCTTGAAAGCCAGGGAAGGGGGATTGGAGGGGGATTTCTTAGAACTACATTTATTTTTTCAAGATTTTCTTCATCGAGATCAGCCAATTCGTGATGAATTCTTCTTTCAGGTACAATGGTAGCGAGACGTCCGACCGATCAAATCGACAGCGCGCCCTTTGTAGTGGGCATGATAACAGTTCTAAAACAGTTCCACTCTGAATACACGGAGCAGTTCCTGGCCTGCTGTGGTCAATACGTGAGGTCCCTCATAGAGGCTTCTGCCAACAAGTAAGTGCGTAACACCGGTCATAAACAGCGTCACAAGGAACGTACCCCCCCCCCCCCCCCCTTCTTCCACCTGTAACGGGATACCCGACAAATTTCCCCCCCCCCTTCATTTTTTCGGGGGGGGCCGTCCATTCAAGTCTTTCATACACATAAAACCATATCAGCTGCCTACCTTCTGTTGCTTTTGTTTTTTCCGTACCCCCCCCCCCCTCTTTTCTCAAACTGTACAGGGATCCCAGACAAATTTCCTCATCACATTTCTTTCTTAGGCGGGGCCATGTCATACTAGTATTTAATACAGAAAAACCTATCTATCGCGCATATCTTACGTTCCTTGTTGTTTTATCATTACGTTTGTTTAATCACTGTTGATTTTTTTTCTGTCTGTATTTTGTAGTGTTAGAAGTAACGAGATTCCTGCTGAAGTTGTAAATCTTTTAGTTTTCCTGGAAGACTTTCTTATGTACAGTCAGCTTCCAAGAAAGGTGCGCTGGATTCTTGTTCTTTATTTGACTTAACCTTATGGTCAGCGTGTTAGACTGGAGTCAAGTATTTTATTGTCTTAATGTGTAGGTATAAAGGTTTAAAAATGCATGCTTTTTCAAGCGAGAAACGATAAGCACAATAAGCTCAGGCAGGGGTTTTAGAGTAACATAGGGTGTGTAATTTAATAGCCTTCCACTTTGTAAATATTTGCTTTTTTATTTGACATTTTTGTTTATTTTGTTTGCGTTTCTTTTCAGGTTGTGGAGGCTCACATTCCAAGCTACATTTTTGATCAGTTTAGAGTTAATCTCACGTAGATATTTAGCTGAAACTTCGTCTATTAGGAAATCATTATTGAAGTTCCAGATACAAGAGTACATTGAACTGTCTGACCTTAGATGAATTGACTGTCGTCTGACAATGCCCCCTTAAGGAATAATAGTGAAAACGTACTTTCCCGAGTTGGCATAGCCAGTCGAGATCCGTACACCAAAAACTCTGTCCAGTATGCAAAACATCGTAGTGGCCGGTAGTCCGTTTTCTAGTTTTCTGGTTTGTTCCTTCATAGACGGTAATTTAGAGCACATAACAATATACCATACACCATAACAATATGATGATGATGACATTGGTGATGATTATGATTTGATGGTGTTGATTATGGTGATGTGGTGATGATGATGATCACGACGATGATATAGCGACAGTTAACAAATACGACGCAATTGAGTGAATAGAAAATTGTCGCGGCGTTGGTTTTTAAGTCTGAATAACAGTTCAGGTTGACATTTGATTTGAGAAGAGACTTTCCTACCTCTGCTTTTTTTCTCCTCTCTTGTTCCCAGGGATGATACAATGGTACACTTCTCCCTCAATCTTGTCCCCAGGGCATCTCCCCTTTTCCGATACACCGTTTTGCTAATAGTCAGTTCCAAGATCAGTGGAGAAGATCCAGTCCATTGGCGGGGGCAAAATTGCAATCCCAAATTACGTGCTAAAATACCCACAACAGACTCAAGGGATCTTCCCACATGCACTTAAAGCGATAGTTAGCAAACTGGTGTATTTATAAGGAAAATGCCCTCGGAGCAAGGTTGCCTCTTGCTGTCTCGCAGAGTGTTATGAGACACGCGGCATTTTCTTTGTGTATAAATGTATGAAATTTGTCCGTGGGGGACATGGGAACCAATACAATGCTGTCGAGTACAGAATAAAAACTCTGCAACATTTAATTTTAGCAAGAAACAATAGGGTTTATAGATTATAGATTAATCATGTATAAAGAATATTTCTGGAAAACACGAAGTTAAATGAAATAAACATTCTTGCATTAAAAAGGCGATGTACGTTTTGTAATGTCTTTCCGTAAAGTATTAATTGCCTGCATGTGGACTCGTTAACTGCAATTTCTTTGTTTCCTATTTCCGGTCATGTGACGCTCAGGGACTTTTTCTTTTCCCTTTGTAAACATTATGCGTTTAGATACATGTGATCAAATGGTCTAAAATGGGAAAACAAATGGACCAAAGCTTAAAGTTTGTTACCTTCATGCGGGTGTGTCATGGGTATATTGAGCTTATTATAAAACTACCTCTTATGAAGTATAACAAATTAAAATGTTCTTTACTAAAAGTGTAGTAAATAAATATTTTATATTAAAAATGCTATGTTGTAATAATTTAGTCTGTTGCTTTTGTTGAAGTTAATCTGTCTCTTTGTTACTCTGATACCCTTCGGCATGTTACCCACTTTGTTACTCTGTTACCTTGCTCCTCCGTCGGCGATTGTTCCAAAAGATTAAAAGCAAGGATGTGAAGCGAGGTTTTCAATGACTTTTTTGTTGTCGTCGCCCTTGTCTTATATGAAAATCATTTGCGAAAACATATGAATTGCATATGTAAAAATGTCGCATTGCAACATGTTGGTCTAACTTAGGGTAGCCTGCGTAGCTGGCGGGATTGTTGTGCCCTGGTTACTTTCTTGGCGGCGAAGCTGCGAATGAAAATCCCTCGGGATTTCAATTTGACTTGCCCCCATCCCCCCAACCCCCTCCCCCCTCAAAAAAATAAAATAAAATAATACAGCACTCGCCGGCTAATCCTCGCGGTTGTTTAGGTTAAAAACAACAGAGAACAGTTAAACAGTTTTTAAAAACGTTTAATTGCAATCTGTTTTACAGTACAGTTTCTCTTTCCTGAAAAAAGCATTCCAAGAAATCGTCTGGCTGTTCATGCTTTTCTTCATTTAAAGCCTCTTTCTTAAACAGCCTGTTAAGGAATACAACAGATGATCCGAACACCATGATTCCTCCAGCTGTGTAAAAGGCAGGTCCGTACGCATGCGTAGTGTCAGCTATGAAACCTGTCGGAGAGTTTGGAAATGTTACTTACATTACTTACGTCAATGTCACCCATGCAGCGGGGACATGCTTTACATATCCAGAGTTCAAATTCATGACCTTTCATTACCAACTGTAATTTGTTTGTAAATGCAAAAACATTAACCGACTACAGTACGTATTTCAAGGACGTAATCCAATACTACTATTGTCAATTCAGTCCGGTGTCCGCTTAACAGAGGTTTTTAACAATAGAAATTAGCCAAATACAATTTATTTTAGTGTCCGCGTCCGTTTAATAGAGGGGTCCGCTAAATAGGGGTTCATTATAAAGGAAAATATAAGACGTTAATTTCGGGACCCGTCTTAGTGTCCGCTTAATTGGGGGTCCGCTCAATAAGTATAAGTACTGTATAAGTATAGAGTGTTTTCACATGACGTCACGGCGGCCATATTGGTGTCCCAAAACAATGAAACGGCGGCCATGTTGGTGTCCCAAACCAGTCCTGTGGGAGCTGAGTTCCTTTCTTATGCAAACGCTTTATTTTGTTCCAAAACATTTGCATACATGCTGGCCATGTGACTGAAAACACTCTATAGGTAACAGCATGATTTGAAGTGATATTTGGCATAAATACCTCAAGTGATATTTCGAAATTGTTATACGTAAATTGCCCCGAAATGCTCATTTTTGGCAAGTAGGCCTCTTGGACATTGTTCTTTCAGAATATCCTGACAAATCCCATAATCTCAGAAATTTCATTTTATGACGTCATTACTTTAGTACTCTATAGCTCCAAGCTTGTTCATTTCTCTTCTGTCCGACACATGTTAACCCTATCAGTGACAATGATGATGTATGTGTAGGCGCTAAATTAAATAGCGCCACAATTTGATGCTTCTGCGTATAACACTGTACACTCAGTGATGCAATTTCCATAAGTCAGTGTCATCCCCAGAGTTTTCGCCACCCTTTTCCAGCAGAACAGGCTTCCTTATAACATCCCAAGTGGGTTATCACCCCCGGGGGGGGTACTCCCTTATAAGGGCTTAATGGGGACGTGCGGCCAGCCAGGGTATGTTTTTCGGGATTTTTGTCTTAAACAGGGTATCGAATTTATCATTTTTTGTCTTAATCAGGGTATCGATTTATCAATTTTTGTCTTAANTGTCTTAAACAGGGTATCAAAAATCGGAATTCTGTCTTAAACAGGGTAAAAAAAATCAGCGATATTTGTCTTAAACAGGGTCAGGGTATGAGGGGCCGCGCCGCACCTCCCCACCCAGGGATATATCGATTACCTCCCCGGGGGTTATCACGCAGGTGAACCCGTAGAAAGTGTGGTCGGTTGCTTTTATAAAATAACTTTAAGTAAAACGGAGTTGTCTATGAGTTTACCTGCACAATAAACCATTGTTTTTTTAACCAATAAGAACGCGCCTACTATCTTAGTTATTTTATAAAAAGCCTTATCCTCACTAGCCACTTTGATATTGAAGCAGTATCAGCACTGTATATAGTGCAAGAGTAAGACAAAGAGTACCAAAAGTTAAAGTTTCACAAATGACGTGTGAATATCATATGTTTAAAGTGTTTGGAGTAGGAGTTGTTCCACTTCTCTCACTTCTTTTTTGTTACACAAGAAGCCGGATTTTTTACTTGGTCATAGATGTTGGTTTAGACGCGGATATTGTCCTCCAAAATTAACCTTCGATTGATGCCTTTGTTGTATACAAACCTCACGAAAAGCAAAGCCTTGTCTTGCTTGTGCAGGGCGAGGATACAAAGTGAGTTTTGCTAATTGAGTAAATGCTTGAAGGAGATATAACGTACCTATTATAACTGGACCAATGGCACTAGAAAGACCGACAGAGAATGCGACAAAACCCCAAGCTTGGTCAGCTGACTTCTGTCCTACACATGTTAACACCATCAGTGGCATTAAACCGTATCGTCCACCATCCATGAGACCAAACATAACAGATAACACCACCACAGCTTTGTAAGATGTTGCCAAGGGTAACAGAAACAAGCAGACGCCGAGACATGTCGTTGAAAATTGATAAAGATCAAAGATGTTGATGAATTTGAATTCACTAAGCTTGCAGAACAAGTGGTTGCTAAAAAAGAAGGCGATCGCCATGTACATGTATAGCATGGAGGCTCGTTGCGTTGAAATGCCAAGTTCACTCTCACAAAATTTCACCTAGAAAGAAAGACGGAAACAACCAATATTTAAGTAGCTGGCGATTATACAGATCTGACGTAGTTATAGAATATAGATGGTGAAAAGTCGATCATTTGCAGAGGAGTGCGTTATGTTAATCGTTGCAGTGACAGAAAAAGTCGCCATGAGGTGATGTAAGGACTAGTATGGGGTTAGAGAATATAGGGGTATTTTTTTAGAAAGATTGCTACGTACGCGGGGGTATAATGGAAGGGAGGAAAAATTGTTAAATTGATTCTGAAAAACGGAGAATTAATATTTTTATTAAAAAAGAATTCTCTTCCTCCTCGAATTCCCCGTAAATCCATCGTATTGCGGGGAGGGGATCAACTCTGTTTCAGAGACGTGTATTAAAAAGTTAGAATTGATTGTATAACAATAAAATTTAGTTAATTCACATCTTACCAGGAAAATTGATAGCGTAGGCACGGCAAAGAACACCAAGGTAACGGAGAAAAGATAAATGATGAAGTGCCCATTTCGCGAAAGGCTTGGTGAGTGAGTGGCTTCCACACCTTGTTCGGATCCGTCATCATTTCTTTTGATGGTACCTACGGTAACATCCGATTTTGAGTCGTAAGAGTAGGCCAGTGGGATCGCCAGGAAAAACAAGATGGCCCAACCTCTGAGGGCGTTTTTGAATCCATAATTTGAAAGAAGAGCCTCGGTGATTTGCGTCACGACGAACATGCCTACACTTGATGACGACGCTGTTATTCCAACTACAAGAGAACGCCACTTCACAAAGTGTCTTAAAACAACTAGAACGCTGCAGTGGTAGGACATTGCTGAACCCAATCCTCCAATTACTGAGAATAAAATAAGGAAAAGCCAAACATTGTCCTCGAACGAGCTTACGCAAAAGCTGATCGAAATTATAAGACACCCACTTGTGGCTGTGATTCTAAATCCGAGACGTTTGACGAGATGGTTTACCAATGGTCCAAAAACCCAGGAGAGTGCAATGTAGAGTGAACCGACCCAAGCTGAAAGAAACCATTATAAAAGTGTTACATATTAAGTTGTATATAGCTGATTCAATTAAGGTTGCTTTGGGCAATGGTAATTTGGCATTGGATAGCTATTGTTGGCAGTCACACAAGTAAATCATTGCCTTGTTCCACATGCCCAAATGTCCAATGTCTAGTTACCAATATAACAAATTACCAAAGCAACCTTTTTTGATTTAGCTGTATGACCTTACTGTCCTTAGTCTCCCAGTCGCAGTAGCCCAGTGGATAGATCGGCTACCCGGTGATCGCAATCGGGAGGTAATGGTTACTTCAAAGATGTTAAACAGTCGAGACGGAATATTAATATATAAATAGCTCTGACGGCGGGTATCGTTTTAAGAGCAACCGTGCTTTGTTTAAAAAACCACGACTGATGAACGAAGTTTAAACTTAAAGTGTCTTAAATGAACACAGGTTAAAATCAGCTGAAATTTGGAAGAAGTAAGTCAAAATCCGAGAAGGCCTCCAGGTTTACAGTCCTATCTTCACTTTCTTTAGACCCTGTTTTCGACTCGACAAAGAACTGCAAAATAAGCACCGATTTGCTTTTTTGGCCCGTACAGTAAGTTATGGCCCGCTAAGGGAACGTACATTTTTAATTGGGTTGGAGGGGGGGCGGGGGTAGACCGGGGCTTCAAAGGAGAGGGTCGCCAGCCGCATGCAAAGACCGAATTCCGTTAGGAACACTAACAGGATCCTACAGAAACATACACCACTGGAAATAATCAATTTGCACAAACAGAACAGTTTCATGACCTCTCAAAGCGAGACTAATGCTCCATACACTGTTATGATCTATCCGCTGAGGAGAAAAGAGAAAAGAGAACCCATTGGTCACGTTCCTCACGTTTCACACTATGTCGAGCTTATGAGTCGTGTTTGGCCTGTAAACACTTTATTTCCTACTATTGTTTCTGGTTTGTTATGTAACTGATGACGTATTTCCTTGACCAGTATCCTCCAGTCCTTATCCTACTAGAGCGAGCATTCAACCACAGGGCACCCACACAATGCTTGTGTGCAACCACAGGCATCCCAAGCTGACGTTACGAGTGTGTTATGTATATAAATGGGTGTCTCGTTTACAAGTAGCCTGTGTACAGACGTCCCCCCTCCCTCAGGAAAAATCGGGAGAGGAGACGTCTGTGAATCACCGTCGTTAATCGTGTTCCGGTATACATTTGCATAAATTATTTTGTTCTTTCGGTGACAGTTGAAAAGGCACATGTCCGTCGAAAAATAGCTCTGGCATCTGTGCACAGGCTAGCCGAACATCTTCACGCAATGTCCACCCAAAAATACAGATATACTAGTAAGATCTCTGATTACAGTCAAGCCAGGTAAAGCGTACCTTCCAAGATGCTATTAATGTAATTATTATTGGAAAGTTGAACCGTTGGTAGTTGTAGTTTTCAGATTCATCTCTGTGTGCATTCTTGCATGCGTAATGAGCCGTGAATTCATACGCGATTCAGTTACGAAATTTCTACCAGCTCAGTTTCCCTGAATTTGATGTAAATGTCTTCTAAGACATTTAATCCATTCAAAGATTTTAAATCTGACCAAATGCAGAGAAGTTCTCTTAAAATATTCACTGCTCATTACGCATACAGGAATGCCGATTTAAATTTGACACCAGTTACGGGAACGACTGACGGATTCATTATACAAATCATCAATTCATTAATAGAATCTTTTTGGGGTAACTAAGCTTGACCTGCCTTGGCTGTTAACGTTGGATTTTGTATGCCTTCTCTTTTATTTACCGAGCAGAATTACCGAGCAGCAAACATCGGTGGTAACATCTCATGCCTTTTCCAGAGAGCCGAAATCCAAATACCGGTAAATAAATATGAATGTCCACAAAGGCTGAGCTTTTCCCCGGGGAATCTATTCTGACGTTCATTCACCAATCACAACACCGGAAATTATATGCGTCATGGCATTAACATTACAACCAATCAGAGGCTGTACCCAACATTCCGGGGAAACGGGAACAAGATTATCGTCGGCGATTCACAGACGTCCTAGTCTCCCGATTTTTCCTGAGAGAGGGGGGACGTCTGTACACAGGCTAGTTTATAAGCGACCGTTGAGACTTTGTATGAGAAATAAATTACTGAGGTCTGCGAACGCCAAATATCATTTTATTTTTACTTTTTTTCTATAAAATAAATAAAAGAGACTTACCTTTGATATATGCGTATGTTTTTTGGTGTGAATTCATCAATTTAGTCGTTTTTTTGGCTGTTATTGTGTGACCCCTGTCAGAGAGTAACAGGGGTTACACAATAACAGCCAAAAAACCCACTCGTAAGGTGAGCTTAGATCCCTGTGGTGTAACCGATTGTTATTTTATAGTAAATGAACTGGATTTATCGTTTGCTTCACCTTTTATGATATATTGCTAAAGTATGTTTATAAATCAATGTTAAATAAACGTTGAATTACCTTACCTGTGGTATATCGTCGTCCTTTTGCCTCAAAAGCGCTTTTTTAAGCGATTTTTAAGGATTTTTAGTTAATAGGAACGGTAAACGGCGAACTCAAAATCCTTTAAAATCGCTCAAAAAACTCTTTTGAGGCAAAAGGGCGACAATATACCACAGGTAAAGTAATTTTTTCTGAAAGTGAAAAAATAATGCGATTTTTGTTCAGCAGTTCCCAGCTGACACAAACCCACAGAGCAAATTCCAGCTGAAATTCAGTTGACTCCCGTTAGCTCGGACTCTCGATAACTTGAATCGAACCTCCAGCTAACTCGAAGTAATTTTTGTTTCCCTTCAAATCATTTCTATATAATTTTACCCTTGATGACTCGAACCATGTTGTAAGCGGGTGACGATTCAAATCAATCTTGTGGCTTCGAATTCCCTATAACTCGAACTTTTTCCGATTTCCTAAGGAGGTTCGCGTTATCGGGAGTTGACCATCGGTAGACTGTACTCGGAGTACAAAACAAATCAAATCAATCGACCCTGTCGACAGACTCACTCGAAATTATATACCCTGTTTAGGACAGATTCACACATGTTTGTTTCAAAGGCGACTGTTAAAAGGCAGTGAATCAAGCTTACAAATAGTACTCCAAATGTTGGGGCGAAAGAAATTGAAACAAAAAAATTTAACTAGTCAGCTTGAGAATTTAAGAATTTGGAATTCCCTAAACTCTGTTCTCAGTTAAAAAACAAAGACAAATACAGAAACATATATATATCCCTGCTTAGCTGGTTATGTTATTTAATATATAGCTGAACAAAAGATTACCGGTTATCACAATGCGCTGCCTGAAATGTCGCAACAGAGACGGCAAGAACAGTCCAAAGCTATAGTAGCTTCCATTGATCAGCGTCAAAATTACAAACGCAGCGAAACAAACAAACCAAGACCATGGACTATCCATTCGTCGTCTCAGATCAGCCATCGCGGGAGATCGCCAAGTAGCTATAGAAAGAGCTAGAAAGCGAAATTCAATTCCAAAAACAAAAAAAATTCAAAAACGTATCATGTTGTTGAAAATCAATTCATTCAATCTAAATCAATACACTTTTTTTTTGTTTTTGATAAAAATAGCTAGAGGTAAAAAAACGTTTAACATGTATTTGTTTGGGGATAAAGATTTTTTTACGAGGATTTCCCAGCTATTTTATTAAACTTGTGATCAATGGCAGGGCCGGATCCAGGATTCTTTTTAGGAGGGGGTGCATTCGTCTCTTGCTCTACTTCAACACTAATGAACCACATAGTTTTTTTTGCAGAATACCAATTGCATTAGAAAACCGCAGGTCATCTCAGGGGGGGTGGGGGGTGCGCACCCCCTGCACCCTCCCCCTAGATCCGCCCCTGAATAGATACTTCCTGCTGTCGTGAATCCGCTGCGAAACAGGTGACTGATTTGTTCGTACACGTTAAAATATGTTTTACACCTAAAGATATTCAAGTTTAAGTTTTAAGCTTACCCTGATCTCTTCGTGTAGATTTCCAGGAAATCACTCTAATTTGTCTTTGTTTTCAACACAATTTTCCCGTGTTTTCAGCGTATTCATGCTATATCGAGTACACATCTTAAAAGAAAAGTATTTTTACCGATCATGGCTTATATTATTTAATGTCTTCTGGTTTTCAGATGCGTGTTTTAAATGAAGAAAATTTTTAGTTGTGACTTTTACAGGCGTCCACGTGTTTTAATATTAAATTGTCCTTTGGATTTTCTGGTCCGCGCTTGCAATCGATTTATGGAAAAGCTCAACCAATCATCTTTTATGATCACACCTCTACAGGGTGTCCCAAAAGTTCGTTCCCATAATTTCATGCACTATAACTTTTGATCAAAACTTTATTTTTACGTGAAATTTCTAGATGTTTATTTCTCTGTCAAGTACATGTGTTCAGAATTTCAGTAACTGGCATGCCCTTTTTGTTTTTTATCACATTCTGTAGCCGTTGCGGCATGAAGTGGCATACAGCCTGTAGACCAACAAATGATCTATTTTGAGCTTTTTTATCACCTGGTGCGCAGGAACCAGTTCAACCGGCCCAAACAATACTTGTTTAGTTTAGACAGCTGAAAAAAATTTATTTTGGGCATTCATCCAAAAAAGATAATCATCCCGGCCCCCTTCCACAGGAAGGCTTTTGTAATTCTTTACAAATTTGAAACGAGTTGGGCGTTAATTCACTATCACCGCCATCTCAGGGGCCTCTAATTTTAAACATTTCAAACAGCTTTTCATGACCCTTTTATTTGGCTTGCTAACTATGTAAGACTGACCTTCCTTGTTGAGTCTCCTATTTTGTATCTAGCCTTCTTTAAAACTATTTTAGCTGCTTTATTCAGGGCTTTTGGTCTTCCCCTTAGTTTCTTGCCTTCAAAACCTTTATTTCTCCATGATCATTCTACCACCCAACATTCGGATTTTTCCGTTTTTTTAGCAATTTCTGCAACAGATAAGCCAGTAAATCGAAGTATACAGGCTT